TAGGTGCGTTCCAATAAGTCTTCATACCAATATGACCATGTTGCGAAAACAAGGTCAAACAACCTCTATTCACTTAACCATTTTGCATATTGCATTTCAAGCATTCAGACTAGAAAACTGCACATTTTATTTCATATCATACACTTTTCCTATTCATGCTTCTTCTCACCACGACTCCTATGTACCCTAAAGTTAACTACAACTGATTCCTCATCGTCACTTCTATCAGAAAGCAGATTTCGCTTACAATCACCCAAACTCAGAAGTATCCTTCCCTAACTGACATCCTAATCACCATGTAAGTGTCACGGCCTAATGCAAGCATGCATGATTGTATGTAATCAAACTTAACTTGATACGCTATTGTGATCACAAGAATAAGCCTGGGTATAATTATAATTATGACATTTCAAGTGGATTGGTCTATGTTCTATTTGAGGACACTTGATCAGCAATAGAAACTAGACTATTATGCCCCCAGGTTAGGCTTCATTTTGACTTTTAAAATTGGCGAGCAGGAACAGGTTTTACTCTTTCCCTGGGTAACTGCTTACATGGCATGTTCATCAGAGTGAGATGAGGATGATCATGATGATGATGATGAGGGCATTCGATAATTCAGGTTAATCGGAAGAGAGGCAGAGCTTGCTATGAACAACTCATTTTAGGCTCGTTTTTGCCTCGGTACTCTCTTATTTTGGCATTGGCATGGGTGAGGGGGAGAAACCAAGTGCTGGATGCTTGATTATCGCATGGGCCATCTGTCGGATATCTAGAACCTGGTGACAGGAGAGATGGAATCCATTTAATCTTGGCCACTAACGCCGAATCAGCTTCTATTTCGCGCAATATACCAAAGCATAAGGAAGATAGCACATAAACATCCAGCTAGCCTGTATGTCTCTGCTATTCCGTTTTCCTAATATCTTTAGGTTCGCTTCTTTCTCTTGACATATGCTCAGTTGTCTATCTTTTCTGAATATTGGATGTGCATAAGTAAGGTATCTTAATACATCTTTAATTCACTTTGACAAAAGAGTATCAATCCATTCAGCTACTGCGCCTAAATATCTTATATTTACATAATATAAAGAAGTCGGTCAGACGGCCTAATCTATGACCGGTATGGCTAGGTGATAGATAGATTAAATTAGCAGATGACAAAGAGTTGGCAGAGATACAATCGATCTTGGTTACAAATCACATTTACAACTCTTCTTTTAAGTATTACATTCTATTTGCTAGCATGGCAGCATGAATGCTTATAGGTTATCATCCTTAAGCAAATATAAAATAATATTTGCTTAAAGGGGTTAAGCAACCAGACTAGAATCGTAGACACTAATTTGGAAGCGTAGGATCTAGCCCAAAACGTCATACGAACGGACTTTAATTAAAAATGACAATAGATAACAATCTACGAGTCATCTTTAACGTACACTTTAATTTGGTTAAACGTTAGTTTTCTTCCCTGACTATATAAACTGCCGAATGAACATCGACACAGTTAAGGCTGTTATGCCGTTTTGGGAGTCAAAATACTGGGCGAATTTAATTTCTGATCACGCATCACAAATAAATTTGAAATGGCCTCTGATGAGCCCCATATATTCCAGAGTTTGATCTGTTGCTAAAATTCCTGCCAATAATAC